GAGGAAAACTGTTTACTGCCAGACGTGACTCGGTCAGTCGGTCGATCGGTCGGTGAGGTGGGTGGGCGGAGGTCGTCGTCAAACAAACAACGCCGCTGTCGGTCGGCATTGATTCGACTCGTCTGTTGCGCAACAGCTGATCCGCCAAGACGTCCTCGACGGAGCCGGCCTTCATCCTCATCACCACCGTCGTTGACTCCTGACTGACTCAGTGAGTGACCGACCAGCCGACCATCGAAAAGTGTCCGCCTGCCCGTCCGTCAGTTTCTTTGCCTATTTGCCGTGTTATGCGAAAGTTACTGCTGCGTTGAAAACTTCCTCTGCCGCGTTCGCCGCCGTCCAGCCGTCGCCACCTTCAAGCTCTGTGAAAAGCTTCACCTGGCCTCGGTCCCTCAGTCCTCTCCCAAGGTACGTATTACGCTTTTATATTCAGGTTTTACCATTTTGTACACAGCTGTTGATAGTCCTCCGCTAACAAGGTCGAACCTCTCGGAAGACAACCGTCTTGTGGTGACTAGCTACCGTTTCGGCAGCTCGGAAATTATGCACTTTCGACGATTCCTTCAGGCAGGTGTCCACAAATTTTCCAGGCAAATAGTTTTGCATCCAAAAGTACTCTGAGTACACACTGCGACCAGTTCCCCTTGAGAAAGCACTTTCCTTTACAATGATTTGATCAAAGTGAAACACTCGATATTCGCTAGTTGTCGGCCGGCACCGGCGGCGAACATGTTTCAGGTTGACGCGCGATCTGAGACTCATTCTGAGATGTATTAGATGACTTGACGAATGAGTTGTATGCATACTGTAAGCAAAGCCACGGGACGTATATACTCTAAATAGGGCTTAACGACTTATAATTGATCTAATATGTCCAAATGGTTAAAAGGCTATGGAAAATATTAAGAAATGTTTTCTCCTGATGAATAATAGTTCGGATGAGACCAAGAAATGAAATAAATTTATGGATGAATGAAGGTATGATGACGGATGGATGAATGGATGCACTAACGAGCGAATGAAGGTGAATGACCTAGTGAATGAATCCGTTGACGAGTGGAAGGCAGACGGTCGGATAGACGTTTGACGACGGATGCAAGAATCCCTGCATTCCATCAGCCAAGCGATGTCTACCCTTATTCTCTGGAAGGGGTGAATTTCAAACCCATCCAAATATCGCCTTCCTACCTGGCAGAGGTTAATAAGCAAAGTATGCTAAACAGAGATGGTCCTCAATAGCGGTAAAGTGACTGTTTTTCAGCAGCATCCGAACTCTTTTCCTGACAGCCGTTTCAAAATTTCATAAGCACCTGTGGTGAACTGGTCAGGTTTATTACTGACATGTGATGTCTGTTCGTCGTGCTCCACGTTTAAACATCGACAACTGACAGCTGACAATTGACTCAATCTCGACCACCAGATGCAGGGTTTCGTCTACCGATGATTGTTCCACATACGTCATCTTTCGAATGGGCCTCAATGAAAAATTTGAAGAAGCTACAGGGACCGTGAGTTCAAGTACAGTAAAGCCTAATTGGCAGGTCGGTGATTCAACGAACCCCGCATCAATGATTGAATCGTTCACGTGAGCATTTACCTCGTTACTAATTGCGTTCATCAAGCAGACATATCAAAAGTACTGCCCTGAATATCACTGTACTGTCAGGTACGGCAGCCCTGGTATGAAGGGGGAAAACATCGCACAAGGAAAAAAACGAAGCTTTTCACTCTGGACCTAAAATTCCTCAACGGATGCACGGCTAGGACACCCAGTTTTTCCTAGCCACGCACCAATAACATGCTGTCACGTGCCCTTCTCGAATACCCATTCTTAAAGAGTGACTTCATGCCTAGGTCGAAAAGAAGTACATGAATGTTTTAAGAACGAAAGGAAGGAAGAAGTGAAGAAGCAGCTAAGAAAAGAAGCAATGCTTCGTGTCATCACTAGACGTAGCCGCTCATTTATCAAAGCTGATGCCGACACTCTTCCTGAAACCATCACCAAAGGGCATGTAGCCTTTGCCTGAATGTCTTTCTGTGG